TATGGTAATTGGAAAAATAATAGGGACAAAACGTTTTGACCAGTTTTGGCTATTTTTCTTTTGTTTGCTTAATGTTTATTGTTTTTGTTTTATAAAAATACAGCACATTATCTAACAAAAACCATATATGTAAGTTTTCTGCTATATAATTTTTCTACGAAGTTTGAAATTTGGACTTGTATGGGTTTTGTTAGATAATGAGCTGTATTTTTACAACAAAAAAATAATAAACATTAAACGAACAAAATAAGAATAGCCAAAACTGGGTAAAAAGTCGTGGGTCGATCATTTTTCACATGACTGTATGTATGAATGTGAGAAAAAAGAAAATAGTGAAAAACAAAATGAATTTAAATAAATGAAACTACTGCGAAAAGCATAGTAGAAACCTTTTGACTTACGGAAACTCATAGCAATGGCATTCCTAATAGCCGCCGCTGTTTGATCATTTTCGCCTACTCTTTTTGTGTGATTAGGTTGATTAGGCTGCGTCTTGCATCCACACGGAAGAAACTTCGTCTTATTATAATGTTGACGTTTTTGGGTGCTACCTGTAAACATCTCCCTATTTATCGGAAACGAGCTTTCAGCTGGCCGAAAGAATTTTCGATCACACGGCGACATTTGGACAGTCGATAATTAAATAGTTTTTCAGCAGCTGGCTGGTTAGCTACATATGGATACGGTTTCATCATGTGGCGCGATAAACGAAAGGCTGAATCGCCCATAAGTAGCACAAATATATTGATTCCGCCAATAAGCTCGCTATTTTGTACGAAAATATCGGCGCTTTCATGAAATTGTCTTAATGAACTTTTTTCAAATATATGGGTAGGAGTCATTATTTCTTCTAGTGGACCCAATGTTAATATACGTAAGTTTTGACCTGTAAATGCAAATACATACATAATTAAATAGTACATACTTATGTATATGCATGCGATCTGAGTAGCCAAAAATTGACCTGTGATCACAGCTCGCCAATAAAACAACGGAATACCATCCTTTGTAATTGTGGTAATCTACGGCATCCTCTTTTCTTGGCTGCACTTCAATGTGACAACCATCGATAGCTCCGAAGCATTGAGGAATTATTCTTTTGATTTCTCGTTGATTCGGGGGGTATGTATTAATGCAATCTGCAAGATTATCGCAAACTGCATGGCAAAAATTCGAAACAATTTCACCAACAGTACTACGGCCTACACCAAATAAACTAGAAACTGTTCTGTACTCTGCTGTAGAGCCCAATGAGAAAAGTGCTATAGCCACCCTCTTTTCGAGTGGAATGCAACGCCTCATATTGCTATCCATTTTCTCCATTCCTCGCACTTTCTCGCACACTTTTTGAAACGCCCGCCTATCAAGACGAAAGTTTTCCTTGAATCTGGCGTCGTCCATTGCACATACATCGTGCTCCTAAAATGTGCTACTGCGGTCCTTTAAGGGCACAGATAATGATTAAAAATTCGAATAAAAGTGCATTTTGTACTTACGAATTTCCAGAACCGTCGTGCGTCGGACTGAGCATTTGCAATCGCGGCTCGCAGGATCGTGTTACTGTTTATTAAAGCATTTAGTTTCGCCTTATTATTTATCAATTTTATTAATAGTAACTGAATTTTTTCACAAAATAAACTTTGATTTTTTACAAACAGCATAGCTGTCTTTAACAATATTTTTCTTCTATCCATTTTCACTTGGTAATTAGAGAAAACAAAAATTATTCAATATCAGCTGTCTAAATGCACAAGGCTGCCGTCTGTTAGGGTGAAATTTTAATTTGCATTTATGTTTATTAATTTAAATTAATTTTCTCCGTCTGTCTACCATATTAGCTGACTCTGAGTCAGAAGAAGCATTTAGTGACGCCAAGTCAGAAGCTTCGGTACAATTCAGTCTTAAAAGAAGTACTTCACTTCCTTCCTTTCACTTTAAAGATCTGCTAACTGTATCTTACGAGCCGTCAACAGCTACCAGTTCACCAAATATTTCGACAATTTTTAAAGAATTCTAAGACATGGCTACCTCTGAACAGAAGAAATCCTTTATTAGTCTTTGTGCCTCAATCATTAGGGAAAATTACAACGGCGATCCGCTAGTACTTGAATCGTTTATTGATAAAATTTATTTAATTGAAGATTTCGCAGACGAAAATTTAAATACAATTTTTATATCATTTTTGCAATCGAAGCTCGAAGGCAAGGCACGTGAAGCAATTCCAACCGAAGTTAATTCGGTTCTACAAATCAAAGATGCTTTGAGAAACAGAATAAAGCCAGAGAACTCAAAAGTTGTAGCTGGGAAAATTGCATCTTTACATGTCATAAACAACAATTGTACGGACAATTATAGCTAAATATTTTTCTACTTTAGATCTTTTTACTGGATTTCACCCCTTAGATGAGGATTCACGTGATATAACTTCTTTTAGCACAGACCGTGGAGCATCTCGATGGAAAGTATTGCCATTCGGTTTAAGTATAGCACCCAACTCATTCTCGCGAATGAGGAGTATAGCTTTTTCTGGTACAGTATATTTTGCTTTGCTGCCTTTGTGCTTAAGTGCACATTTAAAATGCGCATGGGAAAATTGCATGTTTACATGTCATAAAGAACAATTATACGGACAATTATCGCTAAATATTTTTCTACTTTGGATCTTTTTACTGGATTTCACCAAATCCCCTTACATGAGGATTCACGTGATGTAACTTCTTTTAGCACAGACCGTGGAGCATCTCGATGGAAAGTATTGCCATTCGGTTTAAGTATAGCACCCAACTCATTCTCGCGAATGATGAGTATAGCTTTTTCTGGTACAGTGTATTTTGCTTTGCTGCCTTTGTGCTTAAGTGCACATTTAAATGCCCATCAGCGGCATTATTCTTAACATATATAAGGAAACTGCTCCGATACATGCATTCAACATACGTGTACATTAGCCTTAGCATTACCTGCCTTAAAAATTTTCAACTATTATCAATTATCAAAGAAAATATTACGTTTACCTGAACTGGCTCTACACTTACACTAATTTTACAAGCTTTTATTTATTTTGCTCATCTCGCAGAACAACGAAAACGGCTATAATTTTATGTAGTTATATAGATAATTGGATGGCATTCGAAAAAACTTTCGCTTGCAGTAATTTCTACGTGGTAAGTGCTCCTCCATTATTTGGTTTCATAGGGACTCGGATACCTTCCTCATTGAAGTAGTAAAGAAAATTCGCTTAAGTGCTTTTCGGTTAAGCGCACGAGTTTTTTGTGCAAAGAAGGATGGGCAGCTAAGCAAAATATACTGTATTCCACCCAACGTAGCATTTTTATATGTAGATGACATTATTGTTATAGGCTGCAGTAAAGCACATCACATTAACAACTTAGCAAAAGTTTTCGACACTTGTCGAAACTTCAACCTAAAACTTTACCCAAATAAATGCAACTTTCTTCGGCCGGAAGTTATATTCCTGGGCCATAAATGTTCAGCCAAAGGTCTGTTGCCAGACGACTCCAAAATAAACGCTGTTAAAAAATATACAAAACCAAGTGATGAGGATCCGGCTCTACGTTCCCTAGCGTTTACTAATTATTATAGGCGGTTCATACCAAATTTTGCGTCTCTGGCAGTGCTTTTAAATAAATTTAGCAGGAAAAAAGTTAAACTTTATTGGGACAGTGTGTGCGACATAGCTTTTGAATCTTTAAAAGCAGCGTTAATTTCGCCAAAATTGCTACAATACCCAGACTTCACTAAACAATTTATTATTACGGACGATGCCTCGAAAGTGGGTGCGGTGCTATATTAAGCCAAAACCAGGGTGGATATGATTTGCCAATATGTTTCGCTTCAAAGGCATTTAACAATGTAGAACAGAAAAAAAACCAATAATTGAATTAGAACTTTTAGCAATCTACTTTGACATTAAACAATTTCGACCATACATTTATGGAACGAATTTTTTTGTAAAATCATATCACAGATCATTAGTATACCTATTCAATATGAAAGACCCCTCTTCAAAACTTTCAAGAATAAGGTTAGAACTAGCAGAATACAATTTTACTATTGAGTATATTAAAGGGAAATTAAATGTTGGCGCAGACGCGCTCTCATGTATAACGATAGACGAAATAAGGGAATCAACGAAAAGTATTTTGGCAGTACAGACGAGATCAATGACTAGCCGAAAAAATTACAAAATGATACAAAATACAGCTAATAACGAAGATGAAAAACATGAGACATTAAACGTCTATGATAAATTTTCTTACAACTTTTCAAAAAAGATACCGCGTATTAGATCGGAAATTACTTACTTATGATAAAGATGATAAAATTAAAAATTTATGAATTTGTGCACATATTAAACATAAAAAACTCGAGTTACTTAATTATGTCTTTGCTAACGAAATAATGAATTTCGATGATTTACTTTCGAGGCTTGAAATTGAAGCCAGCAAAAGCAAATTTAAGAATATTGAATGGCCAAAAGACGATGAATTTTTCCGTCATTTCACAATTGCTAGCTTAACAAATCGCGGAAATAAAATTTTAAAGACATGACATATTATATTAACAGATCCTGTCGAAACAGCATCTACCATAACGACCCTATAAGTGGAGGACATTCCGGACTCAGAAGGCTCTATGCAAACATTTTTACTAAATATTTCTGAAAAAATATGACCCGTGTTACGGCAGCGGATGCTCATAGATGTATGGGTTGATGCACTCGGAATAAAACACACATATTTGAACATGCGTACAAGCAAATGATGCTAGTACGAAGTTTTAATATCTGAAAAATTAGGCATAACAATAAATTTGTATTTACAGGAAATTGTTCTTACTTTTTCGTGTGCTTCGTCCGAACGCTACTTCAAAAGGGAAGTTAAGTTCACCATTTTGACGAAGCTTTGTTCGATATCTAGCTTATCGAAACAATTTACGTTCAGAGATACCGTATGTTAGAAATTATCCGGTTAAAGTTAAAACTTTATACTTTATACTATTATAAATTCAAATTTATAATAGTAAAGAAATCTGGCAATTATTCTATTATGCAACATCCCGAGCCACGTGAATCGAACGGGCTGCCGGAGATTCACTAATTACGTCTAACAATGCTAGTTTTGACGCTGGTCGCCGTAGGGTTCCAGAGGCTGTCTTCACTATTGCTGAACGGACTTGTCCATCTGGGGCTTTGAATGCTTCAATGACGACGCCTCGCTTCTATTCTCCGCGCCTTTCGTTTTCATCGCAAACGAGGACCACGTCTCCGACTTCCATCGATTTTTCGCGTTGGCACCATTTACTAGGCCAGGGTAACGGCGCAAATTTTTTGGCGCTGATACACTAACACTGCCGCTGCCGGAATCAGAGCAGTGTGTTGACACTATTGCGCCGATTTCGCCTCTTCAGGCAGCTTAACGCAGTGGTTTTCTCAGAGTTGCTTTGCCGATTCATACGACTGCAAGAATGATAGAATACAAGGTGGTGTTACTAGAACAGCTGATTGGATATTTTCCACAACTTTATATAGACGCGCCTTGACTATAATTTTGGCGGACATTTACTGGCAAATTGGCACATTTTCATCTTGCTTATTCCTGGACATTTTACAAGTAAGTTGCTTAATGTCTTAACATATTTTCCAAACAAAATTATAATCGTGTCCTTATCGACAGGAGCTTATTCATCCAAGCGTCGCTGTGAGTTCCACGAGCGTTTCACTGCATTTTCATCTACTAAT